CTGTCGGAGTGAGCAAGGAGGCCGGCCAGCACGCCCCGAAGCGCGCCCTCGTCCATGGCGCGCAGGCTCTCCTGCCGCCCGCCCCGCTGTCCACCTCCAGCCTCCCTTCCACCTCCTCCTCCACCGCCTACTCCTCCCTCCTCCTCATCCTTCTTTTCCTCCTCCTCCTCCTCCTGCTCCCTCCTCCTCCTCCTCTCTTCTTCCTCCTCCTCCCCTCCTCCTCCTCCTCCTCCTCCTCCTCCTTCTCCTCCTCCTCTTCCTCGTCCCTCCTCCTCCTCCTCCTCCCTCCTCCTCCTCCTCCTCCTCCTCCTCCTGGACAATGGGGTACTGCTGGCAAGAGTGTCGCATCGACGCTGCCACACCCGGCTCAACCCCCGAGGGCGGAGCTGGAATTGAAAAGGCGGCCACCAGCCGAGAGAGGGGGGGGGCCTGCCCCTGGAGGGCACGGAAGCCGACGGAAAGGGCGGCACGAGGAGGAACAACAGCAGGACAAGAGAGAAAAGAGGATGAGGAGGAGGAGGAAAAGGAGGAGGAGGAGGAGGAGGAGAAGAGGAGGATGGAGGAGGAGGAGGAGGAGGAGGAGGAGGAGGAGGAGGAGGACAGAGAAGGAACCACGGGGGGGAGCAGCAGGCACGACTGAGGAGGGAGGGGGAAGGGAGAGGGTCGCCAACACAGCCGAAGCCCCCGTAGGGACCCCCCCAAAAAAAGAAGGGGAGGTCTCTAAGGGAGCTTCGGCTGCATCAGCGGCCCCGCGGAGGAGGAGGAGGAGGAGGAGGAGGAGGAGGAGGAGGAGGAGGAGGAGGGGGTAGGAGGAGGGGGTAGGAGGAGGAGGAGGAGGAGGAGGAGGAGGAGGAGGAGGAGGAGGAGGAGGGGTTCATGTCGTTCTTGCAGCTCGTGCCTGTGCAGCCTCGCACTGAACCTAACCTCCCCCGCTCGTCTCCCCCACACCCGCTTGTCGCCCGCGCCACGGGCGGCGCGCAGGCTGCGGCGAGACGGCTCCAAACAGCCGCGCGCGGCCTGGTCCCGCCAGGGGCCCTGAGGATGCGCGGTTCACCCCTGACCTCCATCCCACCGCGGCCGCAGCGGCCGCACAGGCTACAGCGAAGGCGCCGACTGTGGCGTCCTTCAAAGATAGCTCGGAGATAGCGCTCACGAGCGCCCGAGGCACGCCTGGCGTGGGCGGCGGCCGCAGCGGGCGCAAAGGCTACAGCGAAGGCGCCGACTGTGGCGTCCTTCAAAGATAGCTCGGAGATAGCGCTCACGAGCGCCCGAGACCTTGGTGCCAGTTGAATTTTTTGTTCGGAAGAAGCACCCGCCCTCTTTTTCCTGGGGTGCGGTGGCTCGGTAAGCCTTGTTCCGTGGAAACGCATTCTGCTGCGCGCTTGCGAGAAAAAGGGGATGCAGGGCGACGACCTGCGCGAGTGGGCGAGGAGGCACTGCTGCCGGGGAAGAAGGGTGACGATCTGCCGAATGCGGGAGTGGCAAACGAGGAGCGCAGCTAGCTTTGGACGCCCGAAATGGGTACGGAAAGAATGGGTACAATGCCCAACAGCAGTTCCTGCTCATTCTGAACAGGACTCGCTATCGGAGTCGCAGCGGCCTGTGTCCATTTGAGACAGAAGGCCGCCTGCCCAACAGCGACCGCTGTTGGTTTGGGACAACACTTGTTGTTGGGCGTTGTACCCATTCTTTCCGTACCTATTTCGGGCGTCCAAACTAGCGGCGGGCGCCAAGGGATGGAAAATGGGCCGGATGTCCGTTCCACGTGTCGCCGCCGTTGCGAAGTGGCGGCGCACCTGCTGCGAGGCCGACCCGCCATAACTGGGGGAGCTGTGGTCCTTACCCCCCTCTGGGGGAACCCGTCGCCTCGACGATCTCTCGAGAGGGGTGTCGAAATCGATGGGTCCCCCCGGGGGGGTAAGGACCACAGCTCCCCCAGTTGTGGCTGGCCTGCGAGGAGCGCAGCTGGCGGCGGGCGCGAGGGGATGGAGAATGGGCCGGCTGTCCGTTCCACGCGTCGCCGCCGTTGCGAAGTGGCGTCGCGCGCTTGCTGCGGCGCGCTCTGGTATGGCGTCTGGGGCGCCCCTCGCCGCTCACTGGCCCTGGGACATACAAAAATACACACAAATAAAACGATCCCCCATATTTTCCAATGTTTTCTAGGTTTCTGTCTTTCCCCCCACTTCCCATAGTTCCCCATGCTTTCTGGGGAATCGACGATCACTTGTGTCTGTGTGCTTGTTTCCCTCCTGGCTTCCCCTGCCTTCCCCTGCCTGCCCACCCTGCCCTGCCTATTCACTGGGATCCATTCGAAGAAAAGCTTGCCATCTTTGTTTATGTTCGATGCTCGCCCGCGCGGTGGGCCCAAAAACTGCCTCCCAGCCAGATGGAGGAGGGGCGGACGAAAAACGCGTTGATGATCGCAGCGGGGGCGGAGGAGCTACCACTATCGCGACCCTGGGCGAAGGCAGCCTGCCTCGAGCAGACTCATACAGCTCGAAACAAACATTCGAAGGAGGCACGCCCACCCACCCAGCCTAGAAGTCTGGCAAGGGCTCCCAACTTCGCGCTCCGCGCTGCGCGAAGCGCGATGTGCGAATGACTTCGCGCTCTCGCGCCGCTTCCAAGGGGAGAAGAGGAGGATGAGGACTCGGAGCCGAACCCGCGAAGCGCGAACAACTTCGCGCCCTCGAGGGCGCCATTGTCTGGGGCGGCAGCGTGCAAGACCGCCGGAGAAGGCACGATCCAGGGCGGCAGAGCGCCGACGAAGAGCCTGTCCCGCCTCCCACCGCCTCTGGCCATTCGCCCATCCTCCGGGCGCGAAGGTCGGGCGCGGCAGAGGCGATGCTGAGACGCACGCGTTCCTCCACCTCGTACCACTCGTTAGGGAAACGAACAAGGACATAAACATAACAACTCGGAGGTCCGAGCCGATTTCTCGGATCGGCGCTGGGGACCCCGGCGCCCCTGGCGCGCTCCGCGCGCCAGGGAGAGGGGCCCAGCGCAGATCCAAGAAATCCGCGCGGACCTCCGAGTTTGTATGTTTATGAATTTGTTCGTTCCCCTATTGATGTCGTTGTCGTTGGTGTTGGTGTTCGCTCCGTCGGCACTGGCGTAAGCGACGTTGTCGGCGTAGGCAAGGTCGATGTGGCTGCAGCGCCACGGGCATGCACCTGGTAAATGCGGTTCCATAGAATCCTGCCGTTCCTTGTCTTATCCGCTTTGCGTGCCGCTTCGCTCTTGGAGCACCGGACAACCGCTGTTCTGCCCTCGGCCTGCATGGCGTGGATGGGCCCAAGCAGCGAGAAGGTGGCCTAGGCCCCAGAGACGCCTAGCTCGTAAAACAGGGCTAGGATCGGGATAAATCGCTCCAGAGCGTTCAAGAGCGCTCTCAGAGCGTTCCGGAACGCTCTGGAGCGGCCGCGGCGCCCAATACATCCTCCAAACCCGCCGATTCTCAAAGATTTCGAGTTATCCCGATCCGATTTTGTCCCGATGTTCGCGTCGTTTTAGCTCGCGAGCGCTGGAGATGCGGATGGCGTGGTGGGCCTGGGCGCTCATCGTTGTGCGTGTGTCGGAGCTGGCCCTCTCGCGGTCGGCCTGCTGGTCCTGCGCGAACCGTGCTCGTGGACGCCGGCCGCGGCGACACGGACCGATTTTTCCTGGCGACCTGGGCCGCTGCGGCTGGAGGCGTCGACTCGTCATGTCGAGCCGAATCCGGTCGTGACGACGGGGAAGGGGTCCTCGGCGACACATATGAAGGGGCCCTGGGACACACAAATAGATACACACAAATAAAAGGATTCCCATATTTTCCCATATTTTCTGGGTTTCTGTCTCCCCCCCCACTTCCCATATTTTCCCATATTCTCTGGGAAATCAACGATTAATTGTGTCTGTGTGTTTTTCCCTCCTGAACATAATCCGAAGGGCTAGGTGAGGGGTGCCGCCGAGGGAAACCCGCGGGGGGATCCCCATGCAGCCGGTGCTTTCGGGGCCATAGATGCCCGGGTCTACTCTGGGGCGGGTCGCCGAGGAGGGCAAACGTAGGGGAACCAAAAGTGGCATAAAAGCATAAAAAACTCGGAGGTCCGCGCGGCTTTCTCGGATCGGCGCTGGCGGCGCGCTGCGCGCGCCAAGGAGGGGGGTCCAGCGCCGATCCGAGGAAGCCGCGCGGACCTCCGAGTGTTTATGTTTATGCCACTCTCTATTCGGCCCGAGAGGGGGGGTGGGGTCCCTCCCAGGGCTCGAGTGAAACAGTGTTCTCCGTTTCCGTTTTGCTTTCGTCATCCCTACAGTTCTGTCTTCGTTGTCCACAGCTGCTGCAACAAAAACGAAGCCAAAACGAAAACGGCCCACGACATTGCCAAAACGAAAACGAGGTCAAAACGAAAACAGTCCACGAAATTGCCAAGAAACACCGTTCAGCTCGAGCCCCGGCCCCTCCGAGGCATACCGAGGAGGAGGCGCCGCTCCTGCCAGGCTGCCGGCTCGCCCCCCCTTCCTCCGCCCGGGCGGGGAGCGGCCTCGGCAGGGGGGGGGCAGGGGCTCGGGGCCTCGGCGTCGTGTGCCTCCGGCCTCCGGAGGTCGTCGGTCATCCCTAGTTCTGTCTCCGTTCCACACTCGCTGCACCACGAAGCCAAAACGAAAACGGCCCACGACATTGCCAAAAAACACTGTTTCGCTCGCGCCCTGGCCCCTCCGAGGCATATCGAGGAGGAGGAGGCGCCGCTCCTGCCGGCTGCCGGCTCCCCCCCCCTCCTCCTCCGCCCGGGCGGAGAGCGGCCTCGGCAGGGGGGCAGGGAGGCTCGGGGCCTCGGCGTCGTGGGCCTCCGGCCGCCTGGAACGTATCCCTATCCCTACAGTAGGGGCTCGACCACAAGAACCCTTCCACAAGAAACCCAACCCTGGGACTCCCAGACGTCCATTGATTTTTGGTGTGGGCATGTCATGCTTTCCATGGCAAAAACATAGAAGCCCAAGAAACCCAGGGCACCCTGGAGGCAAACAGGGTGTCTCTTTGCACGGGTCCCCCTGTAAGATTGGCACGCCAAAAGGCGATGACAATCTCAGGGACTCGCCCTCAAAAACTGAGGGAAGCCCTGAGATTGGCATCGTGATGAGGAGGTGCCCAGCATGGGGAGAGGGATATGTTCCAGGCTGGTAATCCGGAGGTCGTCGGCCTCCTCGGCCTCGTCGACGTCTCGTCGGGAGCGGCCAAGCCGCATTTCCACGCCCTCGCGCGGCCGCCCCCGGGAGAAGGCCCGCTCGGCGGCCCCCTGCCGCGGCGCGCGGAGCGAGGCCGGCTACCTCTGCGCCAGTGCTCGAGGTCCCGTGGACGTATCGAGGTGCTCCTGCGATCTACAGGAGGTGCCCGCGCGAGGAGTCGGGAGCGGCCAAGAGGGGGGTGTCCAGGAGGGGGGGGGGGGGGGGGCAAAGCATGACCGGCGGCATGTGCGCCGCCCAGCGGGGGGGGGCCAGGGACGTAGTGAAATAAGAAAAGGCGCCATGTAATCTCGGGAGAAATATCATGGCCCCCGCCATGATATCCACCCCCTCTAGTCATCACCCCCCTCTTCGCCGCCCCCGATCTCAGGCGGCACTACTGACGAGGATGGCGGTCTGGTCAATGTTGCAGGGGCTGAGGTTCGGCAGCTTGCGCTGCTGCTCGTGGTGGCAGTTGCGCGCGAAGGCAGCCACGAACATGTCGGGGATATCGGTGCAGCTCGTGACCTGGTTCTGCTCGAAGTTCTTGGCATCGGGGTTGAAGGTTGCGCTGCTGATCTTCGCTCTGGATGATTAATTAACATGTATATCGCAGAAAAGTCAGTTTACCCAGCAGCATGAATATCATCAATGCCCACCCGTGTCTTCCAATGTCCATGTCGTCGTCCAACTCTCGACGAGTACCTTACACGTCGCTTCGCCTTGTCAGCCTTATATAGCCAATCCAGGAAATCGTGATGAAGCGACATGTGACCCAGAAAGGCCTCAGCGCATACAATTTACTATGATAATAAAGGATGTGCGGAGTGAGCGGAGGAAGATGTGAGATCGAGTATACGCTGGATACGGTCTCGTTTGCGCGGTCTGCCCACCTAAGGGCGACACGCTTGTCTCTAGGCCCACTGGGAACCAAAGCTCTCCCCCTCCTCCTCCTCCTCCTCCACCTCCTCCTCCTCCTCCTCCTCCTCCCCCTCCTCCTCCTCCTCCTCTTCCTCCTCCTAGATCATGGGATGCCTCATGGGGGCTGGCGGCTCTCGCTCCGAGGCAAAGCCTTCACAGGTGAGTGTGGACAGTGCCCCATAGGTGGCCACGAAAAAGAATTGGTGTGCGTGTGTCACGGCCGTCGCTGGGGGACGTGGGCGGGTGGAGAGCCCAGCTGCGCCCACCTGGGAGCCCCGCTCGGACCCCCCTCTTGGGCCTGCAGACCCGCCGAGGCCCTCGCGGCATCCTCGGCGTGCCGGCTTCCGGAGGTCTGCTGAGTGTGAACTCGGACACGACGGGAGAGCCCCCCGACGGGTATCTCAGCCGTGCGTTTGCCTTCTCTAGCCATCGCCCTGTGCGACACGCCTGGAGGTGGCAAGTGCAGCGCTCCTACAGGCCACCAAACGCTTCTAGGCAAGATTTCTGAGACAGCTTTTCGGACAGCCAGGAAGAAGGTGCATCCTCAAGCGATGCTTGCAGCAATCGCACGATAATGTATACCGTCCCGCCGACGTCGGAATTGGATTTGAATGATGACAGGCAGCAGTGTGAAGATCTGCTTAGGTCTCTCACTCAGCATCATCCATCGATACCAATGCCCCTGCCCTGGGTCCAGATTTTGCTGCCAAGAGGTCTGTACGTCAAGTCCCCACCATTGCCAGGATCAAGGCAGTGTTGAAACCAGACCAATCAACCCTGCCGATCACTCGATTGCTATACAATTTGCTCGTGAACCACGTCGAGAAGTACCAAACGAGTCTCAGGAAGACCCGTGGTTTTCCTTTCCGCCCGCTCCGTCCCCGCCCCACTTTCCTACACCACCACCACAATTATCGGCTGCTGTCCTGGCTCGGATAGCCGCCAACCGGGCTGAAGCCCTCAGACGGAGAAGATAGCTTGCATCAAAAGCTCGGAGGCTGCCAGCTCAGACCATCAATCTTTTCGGGCCGCCACGAGAGGGTATCTTCGGTCTGCCTTCCGCCCGCGACCGCGACCGCAGTGGGGCCATGCGCACCAACTTCGGCAAGGCGCGCTCCGCTTGTGCATCTAGGGAGGAGGGGAGGATTGTTTTAGTGGCTTTAGTGGTTTAGTGGTAAAGCTGTATTGGTTTTGCTTCTGGGCCTTCAAGTATCCCGTGCGCTGCTTGGCTTTTTGCGTTGAGCTTTCATTTTCCCGATATTAGTATACTCTTAGAGGCTTGCCTCTTGGCCCGTCAGCGGGCCCTTTCTGGACTTCAGCATAATGGTTGTCCTGCACATCGCCGGCAGCAGCTCACCTTGTGCAGCTCTTTTGCGGGCCCGTCCGATCCGAACCGATCCTCTTGGGTTTGTTCGCATGCCCAAAATTGGTTCAGATCTGTTCAGCGGAAAGGGTCGAGGACGTCGTAAGCTTCTCTCTGTTCGCTCCCCATCGTTTTTTCTTTCGACGCGGCTTTACTTAGTGTCCTGGACGCCGACGGGGTTGCAATAGACCCACAAACCAGTTGAATGCAGCTAGGAGCCGCTAGCTTGCGATAGCAGGTGTTATTCCGTTCAACCCGCGGGCAGTTGGACTCGAATCTGCCGAAACCCACATTTTCGTGCTCCGCCTTCCACAACTGATCTCCGCTCTCCGCCCTCCGGCACCCTCCGCCCTCCCGCCTCTCCGCCCTCCGCTCTCCCGCCTCTCCACACCTGGCCTCCGCCCTCCGCTCTCCACCCTCCACCCCCCGCCCTCCGCCCACCTCTCCCCTCGCTGCTCCTCGGGCGCTTGAACTGCCGCCCCCCCTCTCTCGAGCGCGGAGCCCGCGTTCCAGCGCGGGCGGCGGCGGAGGAGGAGGGTGCCCGCAGTCCTCGAGATCCACCTTCGCCTCTTCGCGGGGCTCGTCGGGGACAGGGCTGGAGGACGCCTCGGGGGCCCCGCCATACGAGAGGGAAGGATGACGTGAGATGCGACGGCGCCTGGGAAAATCACGTTCTAAACGGAAAACCCTAGCTCACTGAACAAAACATGGCGAGAAATTCTCGCTCGGGGATCCATGTGGACAACAGGGAAGAACCTCCTAGAAGGCGAAGCCCATCCTTCCGTCACGTCTCTGCAGATGGTTGGTGACGGGGAGATGGGTCGCTTTAGCCCCGCAGGACGTCGCGCACATGCACCACAAGACCGTCGCTCACGGTCGCAGCGGCGCAGGAGGAGGAGGAGGAGGAGGATCGTAGTAGATTGCTCGCGCCCTTGCGGGTAGGCATAGCTCTGTCGAGTCGGATGGGGCACATGGACTCTCCCATCGTTGGAGCGGTGCTCGTGAAGGTTGGAATGACAAACCTCTGGTCCCAGAGTCTGAACAGGGACGATGTTGGCACTTGGTATTGGTGGATGGCATTTGTAGTCGGCATACCCCGAGACAGCCACTTCTGTTCGACACCCAAGGTTCGACGGGGTGTGTGCTCTGTGGTGGCCTCTACCGCCGCCTACCTTACAGGTGATGAATCATGTTGCGTGTCCCACCGTCCCTCTGCCACGCGGCAATCCGCCACCGTGCCGACGGCACTGAGTGGGGTGACCTCAGGTCACTTCGAGGTTTCTGTCTTGAGAGCTGTGAGAATGTTTTGATGGCCACGGACCCTGGACTTACAGAGTTCTCAGGGGCCATCGCGTGTTCCCAAGGATTCCCGCATGGCTTTTCTGGACGCCTCGGGCGCGTGATGAGGGGTCCATACTCCCCACGCTTCTTAAGATGGCCCCAGGGGGCTGTCCAGGGGTTCTCTTCGAAGCCTCTTGGGCCGTCTTGGACGCCCTGGGGGGCTGGCTCACGAGGCCCAAAGCACTCAAACATCGCAACGTCATCGTATGAGCTCACATTCTCGTCTTGTCGGTCTGAAGAGCGCCCAAGACGGTCCAAGAGGCCCCCGATGTTGCAAACGTTCCCCGGCGCCGCCAAGAGGGCCCAAGAGGCCCCGAAGAAAGGCCCGAGAGGGAGAACTCGAACTGCCAATCGGAGCCCTGCGTCCCAACAGAACCACAAAGACCGCGAACAAGTCCTCCAGGCACTACAAGAAGCCTCCATAGACCCTAAAGAAGTCCACAGGAAGCTCTCAAGACGCCTCCCCCAAAAGGACCCGGAGATGCCCCAAGAGGCCTCCGAGAGGCTCCTCATCAAGAGGCCCACAGGGGCATCCAAAAGGCCTCGCGCCTACGACCCAAGCGTGGCGGTTGGATGGGCCGAGTGCCACTGAATACAAGAAGTAGCATGCACATTCCCGAAACTCGCGCCTAGCTGCACCAGAAACACGATACGACAAACATGATCGGTGCGCCAGATACGCTCAATGTTGATGCTCCGTTCTCAGCTATACGCCTGCCCCCTTCGGCGGCCACCGCGCGATCGCGCCATACCGAGTGAAGAGGAGGAGGAGGAGAAGTAGGAGGAGGAAAGCGAGAATGAGAAGGATAACGACGACGAAGACCGCGCCTGCACGAACCACGGACGGCCAAACCTGGACCTCCCGAGAGGCCAAGGGCCGCCCCAGGCCATCCTCACGCGTGCTGGCCCCGCTGCGTGGTGAGCCGTGACTGGACGATCCCTGGTGCCGCGGCATGGCGCGGAGAGTGGTGCGCTCCCGATGCGCACCACTCTCCCGCGTGCGAGGACGCCACCACGAAGGACACCTCATCACAACAGCTGCGCGCTGCGCAGGGGGCGCGACTGGTGGCCGGCGCCGCGCGCGCTCACGGTCTTGGTTGTGCGCGACCGCAGGCCATGGTCGGGCATCCGCGACCTCCGGGCACATCTGAAGGGACCCTGGGACACACAAATAAATACACACAAATAAAAGGATTCCCCATATTTCCCAACCATCCTGTGGTGTTGGGTCCTCGTTTTGAAGAAACGGTGGCCCGCGTCTCCTCTCCTCCTCTCCTCCTCCCCCTCCTCCTTGCGTTTCACCCACCCAGCACAGCGTTTCGTAGCCCCATAGGGAGCTCCACCGAAGGCCCCAGTGGCAGGGTTCGCATGGCGGCCTCGGGCCATTTCGGCACACCCCTCACGAGGATCGTGGCCCCATAGGGAGCTCCACCGAAGGCGCCAGTGGCAGGGTTCGCATGGCGGCCTCGGGCCATTTCGGCACACCCCTCACGAGGATCGTGGCCCCATAGGGAGCTCCACCGAAGGCGCCAGTGGCAGGGTTCGCATGGCGGCCTCGGGCCATTTCGGCACACCCCTCACGACGATCGTGGCCCCATAGGGAGCTCCACCGAAGGCGCCAGTGGCAGGGTTCGCATGGCGGCCTCGGGCCATTTCGGCACACCCCTCACGAGGATCGTGGCCCCATAGGGAGCTCCACCGAAGGCCCCCAGTGGCAGGGTTCGCATGGCGGCCTCGGGCCATTTCGGCACACCCCTCACGAGGATCGTGGCCCCATAGGTAGCTCCACTGAAGGCGCCAGTGGCAGGGGTCGCATGGCGGCCTCGGGCCATTTCGGCACACCCCTCACGAGGACCGTGGCCCCATAGGGAGCTCCACCGGCTGCCCCCAGTGGCAGGGTTCGCACGGCGGCCTCGGGCCATTTCGGCACACCCCTCTCGAGGATCGTGGCCCCATAGGGAGCTCCACCGAAGGCCCCCAGTGGCAGGGTTCGCATGGCGGCCTCGGGCCATTTCGGCACACCCCTCACGAGGATCGTGGCCCCATAGGGAGCTCCACTGAAGGCGCCAGTGGCAGGGTTCGCATGGCGGCCTCGGGCCATTTCGGCACACCCCTCACGAGGATCGTGGCCCCATAGGGAGCTCCACCGAAGGCGCCAGTGGCAGGGTTCGCATGGCGGCCTCGGGCCATTTCGGCACACCCCTCACGAGGATCGTGGCCCCATAGGGAGCTCCACCGAAGGCGCCAGTGGCAGGGTTCGCATGGCGGCCTCGGGCCATTTCGGCACACCCCTCACGAGGATCGTGGACCCATAAAGGGAGCTCCACCGAAGGCGCCAGTGGCAGGGTTCGCATGGCGGCCTCGGGCCATTTCGGCACACCCCTCACGAGGATCGTGGCCCCATAGGGAGCTCCACCGAAGGCCCAGTGGCAGGGTTCGCATGGCGGCCTCGGGCCATTTCGGCACACCCCTCACGAGGATCGTGGCCCCATAGGGAGCTCCACCGGCTGCCCCCAGTGGCAGGGTTCGCATGGCGGCCTCGGGCCATTTCGGCACACCCCTCTCGAGGATCGTGGCCCCATAGGGAGCTCCACCGAAGGCCCCCAGTGGCAGGGTTCGCATGGCGGCCTCGGGCCATTTCGGCACACCCCTCACGACGATCGTGGCCCCATAGGAAGCTCCACTGAAGGCGCCAGTGGCAGGGGTCGCATGGCGGCCTCGGGCCATTTCGGCACACCCCTCACGAGGATCGTGGCCCCATAGGGAGCTCCACCGAAGGCCCCAGTTGCAGGGTTCGCGTGGCGGCCTCGGGCCATTTCGGCACACCCCTCACGAGGACCGTGGCCCCATATGGAGCTCCACCGAAGGCCCCAGTGGCAGGGTTCGCATGGCGGCCTCGGGCCATTTCGGCACACCCCTCACGAGGACCGTGGCCCCACTGGAGCTTTACCGAAGGCGCCAGTGGCAGGGTTCGCATGGCGGCCCCGGGCCATTTCAGCACAACCCCTCACGAGGATCGTGGCCCCATAGTTGTGCTGCTTCAACAACCGCGCCTGGGCGTCGTACTCCGCCTTGTCGACGTGCAACGCCACCTCCTCCCTCATGGCTGTCAAGGCCCTTTCCTGCTTCTGCTCCTCGGTGAGAGGGACGCCGTCCTTGTCGTCGTCGGCGCCCGCGAAGACGGCCACGAACGTGTCCCTGAGCATGTCGGGTTCCGGCGGGAAGCCGTGGCCACATAGGAAGCGCGGGCGAAGATGGTATTCACAATTGCGGTATTCACAACTGCATCTGGTTGGGTCTTTCGCCAGGATAATTTCCTATATTTTCTGGGTTTCTGTTTTCCCCCCCACTTCCCATATTTTCCAATATTTTCTGGAGAATCGACGATTAATTGTGTCTGTGTGTTTTTTCCCTCCTGAACATCTCTGGTGTCCGGGGGACTGGTGGATGCAGTGCGCGGCGCAGGCGGCGGCAGGCTGCTGGAGCCACGGGTGCCAGACAAGGGGGACAACCAGATGCCGGCACGGCTGCCCCTCAGCCTCGCACCTCTCCTGGGCTGCGTTCTGACCAAAACTTCGCGGCGAATCCGGCCGTGGCGGCGAAGGTACGAAGGTACGGTAGCAGTATCCGTAGTTACCTCTGCCTCCTCTGGCACAGCCTGTTGGAGGCGCCCATTGGGGCCTGCAGCCTGCAGGAGAACGTCATGACAAGGAGCGCCCTCCGCGTGGCCATCGCGAAGATCTGCGAGGAAAAACGCGTGCCACTGCCAAGCGCCCACCGCGAAGGACGCGAGGCAGCACGCGGCAGGGCCCGCACCTGTGGAACAGCAGCTGGGGACGGAAACGGAACAGCAGCAACAGCATCACATCGAGAGGGCGCCGCTCAGAACGGACGGCGCTGGACAGCGCAGCAGCACCCAGGCGCTGACGGACAAGCATCGCTTCAGTAGAAGCGCGGGACAGCGCAGCAGCAACCAGGTTTCGAGGAGGCGCTCCGCAAAGCTAACGAGCTCGGGGCGGAGCAGCGCTGCGAGGTCGAACCGCCCAAGAACGCCGAGCGGCACGGGCCCCAGCAGGCTACGTGCCAGGGCAGCCAGGAAGGTCCCACGAGACGGTGCTGCTGCCAGACCACAGCGAGCAGTGCAGCGAGATCGCGACCATGCTGCGGGTCGGGCCGGTGCAGCAGTACTCTTCCCAGGGCGTCGGAGGCGTCGGGGTCGCGGCGGCGATCACCGAGACTCCAAAAACGTGGTGACCCCTCCAGGCCACGACGAGGAGCGCGACGAGCTGCCATTCGCGCGGCAGGCCAGCACGCAGACGCTGGGAAATGTCCGGAACGCTGTGGCCCTGGCGGCGACCGTCGTGGAGGCACGCACCGTCGTGGTGGACTCGGTGAGGCACCTGGCAGTGGGCGCGGCGGAGAAGCGCGTGCTGCTCGCACCCTCCTGCAACGCGTCGCCTGCAAGCTCGACTCTCGTGCGCCAGGGGGCTCGCGATAGCCATGGAGCGGATGGCCAACAGGACCTCGATGTATCCCCCAGGGTCACCCCGAGCAGAGCCGCGAGCCCGCAGAGCTGCGTACACCCTTGCCGGGCGGAGAGCTGTAGCAGCAGCGCAACGAGGACCTGAGGGAGATCGGCGCCCACTGCGTGAAAGCCGAAGCCTGCGAGCAGCAGCGCTGGGCCCAACCCTGGGGGGCCATCGAGACGGAAGGCGTCGCACGCCGTGCGGCTCTAGCGCGCCATCGTCCGCCTCGTCAGATCATGGCAAGATGAACGCGCGAATGCACGCCTGCACGCTGTCTCGATCCTTGCGTGCCGCCGCCGAGCACTTATCTCAGGCCTTTCCATGTAGAGCCCTACTTCGCAAGCAGGGGCGCAGGAACGCCGAAGGACTTCCTGCAGGCATGCAGATGCTGCTCGGCGGTGGCCGACAAGAGCGACCGCACACCCACGCTGACACTGTCAGCCTCCCAAGCAATGAGTGACCTTGGTTCTTGTAAAATCCGCCGGTCCGGCGTGTGAGTTTAAGGGGGAAGGGGTGACCAGGGTGGCTCTGTCGGGTATGTAGGGGGACGGGAGGGGCGGGGGGCGGTCCGGAGGCGTGGGTTCTGGTGGCGTGGGGGGTGAGGGGGGGGGCTGGTCCCCCGTCCCGCCTGTGGGCAGGGGGAATGAAGGTAAGAGGGAGGGGGTCCGGTGGCCGGGGTGGCTGTGCTCGGGAAAACGGATGCGGGGGGTTCGGTGGCGGGGGTTCTGGTGGCGTGGGGGGGGGGGGTCTGGTCCCCGGGCCCGCTTGTGGGCAGGGGCAATTGGGGGAAGAGGGGGGGCGGGGGGGGTCCGGCGGCGTGGGTTCCCGATGGCGCGGGGGAGGGGAAAGGGGGTTCCGTGGCGTGTGAGTTTGAAGGAGCCTCAGCTACAGCCTCGAGGCTGAGCTTCAGCCTCTGGGGGGGTTGCCGGGGTGGCTCTGCCGGGGAAGGAAGGAAGGAAGGGGGGGGGCGTGCGCGCGTGCGCGGGGTAACGTTTGTCCGTGTACGCTGTACGCGAGAAGGGAATCGGGGAAAGAGGGAGAGAGAAGTGGAACGGGACAGGAGCGGAAAACGGGGAACATGTGGGGGGGTTGCCGAAGGTGGCAGTGAAATGCGTGTCTGTTGTGTGTGTGTGTGTTGTGTGTGTGTTGTGTGTGTTGTGTGTTGTGTGTTGTGTGTTGTGTGTTGTGTGTTGTGTGTTGTGTGTTGTGTGTTGTGTGTTGTGTTGTGTGTTGTGTGTTGTGTGTTGTGTGTTGTGTGTTGTGTGTTGTGTGTTGTGTGTTGTGTGTTGTGTGTTGTGTGTTGTGTGTTGTGTGTTGTGTGTTGTGTGTTGTGTGTTGTGTGTGTTGTGTGTTGTGTGTTGTGTGTTGTGTGTTTGTGTGTTGTGTTGTTGTGTGTTGTGTGTTGTGTGTTGTGTGTTGTGTGTTGTGTGTTGTGTGTTGTGTGTTGTGCGTTGTGCGTTGTGTGTTGTGTGTTGTGTGTG